AATTGTCAACAGGTGCAAGGAAAGGTGCTCAGTATCACTAATCAGAGAAACGCAAATCAAAACCACAGTGGGATGTAGTAGTGTCACTTTTTTTCATCTGTGGTTTTGCTCTCTACAATTCCCAGTGGGTAACTGTGGTCTGAAAATACTAAGTGGAAAACTCCAGAAATGTACAATACCTGTTATAATTTACATACCACTCAGAGTAGCATGCTGAAATCTTTGGCTGTCTTGTTCCATCACGCCCACAATGTGAACTGGCCCCATTGTCCAGTTTGTCTGTGCTGTTGTCCAGTGTACCCATGCTACATAAGCTATCTAACCCAGTAGTCAGTTGGCAGTGTCTCAGCTTTCACATCTACTGCTACCGTATGGCAGCACTTATTTTATTGAGTAATGGCCTCAAAGTACAAAGGTAGTGATAGTGGCAGCTTGGATACGCCAAGAAAAAAGATATAAAGTGCTTCATTTAAGTGAAAGTTCTTAACTTCAAAAGGGGAAAATAATCATACACTAAAGTTGAGATCTGTGGTAAAATTTGTAAAATTGTGAAGACAGAAAAAGAAACTTGTGCTAGTTTTACTGTCCCAGAACACACTACAAAAGTTAAGTCCACAATGCATGGTAACTACTTAGATGGAAAAGGGATTGTGTGTGTGTGTGTGTATGTGTGTGTATTTATGTGTGTATATGTGTGTGCTTGTGTTTGTATGTGGTGTGTGTGTATATAACATTCAGTACCCAGTGGTTTCAGGCATCCACTCTGAGTCTAAAATATTTAGCATCTCCCCTGCAGTTAAGGAGATGGACTATACCACCACACATCTATCATGGTGCTTATTATCAAAGGCAAGAGACCAGTGGTGAGGATTTGGAGAAGGGGATGCTACAACACTCTTGGTGGTAATGTAAATTGTATAGGCATTATGGAAAAGAGTATGGAAATACAACTAATCACACAAAGGTACAACCTTCAGGAAGTTCAGGTGCTATATGGGGAGGTTAACTAATACATCAAATTTATATAAATCTAAGTTCAATTTGCTTGTCGTTATGACCCACTTTCATGTAAAAACAAACATTTAAAATGTCTAATATAATTAACCTAATACACATAGATATTTGTTATTGACCTGTCCATACTGAATAGAAATGGAAATAGCATGGCTGTAGTTATACAAGTTATGCATCTACACAATAAAATGTTATACAGATAATTAAATGATTTAGGTCCATAATTATTCATATGTAAAGATGAAATCATGATATATGCTGCCATTTGTGTACATATGTGAACATATATGTACACATGGGCAAGCCTGGAAGGACATAATGAAATATTTTACAAAAATAATTATTTTCAGGTTTTGGAATGAAAGGAAATTTCCAGTTTGACCTACTGGAAGCCTACTAAACCTACCATATCCTTTATAGGCTCACAGAAGAACTAATGCTCTACAAAGTCTCTGAGTGAATTTTGACATGTTGGCCTAGCACAGGGATGAGAGTCACTAAATTCAACCTTAAACAGCAGATGCTGTTTAACTATAACTTTACATTCTGAATTTTAACCTGTATTACCTTTATCATTAGAAAAACAAAACTATTTGAACATTAAAAATTGATTTGACATCTGAAAAGTCATGGATATATTTTACAATGAAAGAAAATTACACACCTTCTTAAAGAGGAAAAAAGATTTGGGATGCAAATTGGGCTGTGAACTTCTGCCTGTAACACTGCAAGTGCCTTAAGGCAGGAGCTCACAACGAATCTTGTCTCCAACAGTTGGTAAGAAGCAGCTGGTGTGAAGCCAATAGCAGGAGCCAGACTAAAGATGCTACCTGCCAGCCTTCTCCATTAGCTTCTTGTGGCCTTGAGACCCTACCAAACAGCTGAGGCCACAAGCCAGTGAAAGACACAATGTACCGCAAGCACAGTCATTGCCAGGTCAGTCACGATGTCTCCTCTTTAGCAGCTATCTTTCAGCTGACCAAGTCCTGTTTTTTTTGTTTTTTTTTTTTAATTAGAAGAAGCATTTCATTACAACAGCATTAACCTATTCAATAACATTTTTCTGAGCTAGGGTACATCTCTTTCAAAATTGGCTGTACATTTTTAGGTTTACAGATGAATTATTATGCTTATACAATCTTTTACTCATTATAAACTCTATAAGACATAAAATTAAATGAGGTTTTAACATTTAAAAAAGATCTCCACTTCGTTGTTAAAATACACAGTTTCATACAGAAAAATTCATTTTAAGGCAATTGACATTGAGATGTTTTCACATGCATTTCTAATCTCTATATATATGACTATTACTGGTCACAGTCGCTTACTTTCTGAGTTCCTTGGCATCTGAGCATGAATATAAACTCGTCAGATAGACAGCCTTCCTCTCCCACTAGAGCCTCCATACTCTGCCATCCCTGCCACTGTCCACTGTGCTGTCAGCACACCCATCTATTCCGCCCTATCTGCCCTTCTGGTAAATCTAGTCAGCCAGAGGTCCCTGTTCCAGGAGGATCAGCTGTTACTCATCTACAGCAATCCATTGTCAGTATTCCTTTGGATAGAACTGGGGTCTGCTGTTCATTTTTCCAGTAGTATGTTGGGTTACTATCTGGAAGAGCCTTTATCCATCCTGGCCAACAACTCGACTGAAGGTATCGCCTGTCTGGCTTTGCTGTTTGTCAAGTAACTTTTAGCTATATATATGTATGCTCTTATGAAATTATATTGGCCCCTTTAATCTTTGGTTATACTTCCCTTTTGGGTGTTTAAGGACATACAATTGGACAAGATAAACTGATTTGTTTTAACTCTTGAGGTCGTTTAAGGATCTGTTCCTCAGGGGTCCCATGGGCTTGGGAGGAGCCCCTGGCTCCTTTCTTTTACCAGTTCCATCTATGTGAAGATAAGTCAAAGGTCCTGCTCGACCATTGTTGACTTCTCTTGGAAGCATGGAGGAAATGATTCCTCCGTGTTGACCCTCCTCTTTATAGACTGGACACTGGTTCAAGTCCATCTGGTGGGGTCTCCTCGGCCTCCTTGATCAAGAGGTCAGATGACCCACCACCGTTACAGGACATTTTGTGAGATGCTCATAGTCCCTGGGAACTAATCGACCTAGGAGGGCAAGGAGCAAAAAGTGTCCTTTGTGTCCCTCTGACCCAATTAGTATAACCAAGTCCTGTTTTTAATTGCTTTAAAATGATCTAATATAATTGATGACTTTTTCATGTATTACTAGAGTTTATAGTGCTCAATGAACTTCAATTACTAATTATTTCCCTAGCAAGTTATCATAGTAAATTATGAGCATTGAGACAAAAGCAGAATTTTGTTTTATTATTATTTTTATTTTATGTGTATGAGTATACTGCCTGGATGTATGAAAGTGCACCATGTCGTGCAATGCCCACAGAGAAGCTGTTGTGTGGGTGCTGGAAATCAAACCTGGGTCCTCTGGAAGCAGAGTCAATGCTCTTATCCAGAGTCATCTCTCCAGCCCCAGGAACAGGATTTCTTACTGGCAAATTTCTAATGTGGCAAGTGAAGAACAAAAGCAGGGCATAAAAACAGGCAAGCGTGTGAATTTGTGAGGAGAAGTATGGATAGTAAGAGGTATTCTAGGAGAAAAGTGAAGACTCTGAGTTAAAATCCACAGCTCTGCCATTTTAATATGACTGGGCCTTTCTGTGGCTCAGTTCTAGTACCTGAAGAACAGGCATCTGTGACCCGGATGTTCCTCTGACCCAGTGGTTAAGAGCCACTCTGCAAAGGAGTCACTCCCCTTACCTCTTCCAGCCAATCGGTTGACCTTAGCTGCTTGCAGGGGAGGGACTAAGGGTATAAAGACTGGGAAAGCCACCAGGCCGGTCTCTCACCATTTTGTGAGGCTGTCTGGAACCACAAGATTTATGTTTGGGTGTGGACTTTTGAACACAGCTGTGAGTGGGGGGTGCTCACTCTTCTGTAAGTAAACCCGCACCCCAAGCTCAGTTAGCAAGTCCAATAAACTCGTTAAGATTCTTCAAACCGGGTTTAAAGAATTCTTTTCTCAGGTTGTCTGTAAGGGCAATGGGAGGCGGGGATCATATGTCACCTGCACCTCCCAGCAGTGAATTTGACTTACAGCATCTGAGCGACCTGACGGGGTCTGTTCATGCAAGATGCATGAAGAGCACTTGGCATATAATAAGCATCCAAGAAATTAAGAATTATTACCATTTTTTCATAGACACTGAATGCACAAGGGGAGGAAAAAGAGGAGTGTGTGTGCGTGTGTGTGTGTGTGTGTGTGTGTGTGTGTGTGTGTTGTCTAGGAAATCAGGCTTAGGTTACTTGTTTAGGTTAACAGTCTGGCCTCGGGGCATTTGTTACAAATGCCAACTAACAATGGTCACTTCACAAGTGACTGGAATGAATGCTGTGTGATGGGATTTTTAATACAGAGCTCAAATTCTGCTCCTACCACTACTTGGTTGTTTGATCCTCAGCAAGGCATTTAGGACTCACCTTCTCTGCAAAAAGGGAGCAATATCCACCTCTCCCCTGGGACAGGGTTGCTGTGGACTCTACTGATCCACAGCAGGTGATAGGGTCATTCTCTGGGCAAGGTGAGGCTGATTCTTTGACCCTAAGCTCCCGGACGTTCAACCTAGCAGATCAAGCTACTTCCTGAGCATCCACAATTGGGTGTGTCTGATAAGCCTACCTACCCATATTGGACAGCAGAAAAAGCTCGAGTTGGACTTGTACTACAAGCTTGATAGTAGGTGAGTGGGTTTTCTAGTCCCCGGGTGAGAAGAGGAAACATCACATTTGAATTTGTGGATAATAAAGGGCCATTCCCTACTTGCCGGTGTTGATCTATAGCAGTCATCTAAGCACCCGGGCTGTGATGCCATGGTCAGCCACGAGGTAAAGGATTAGTTTGCACTGGAAGTCCATGCTTAAATATCAATAGAACATTAAAAATAATGGAAGCCTTTGCGAACACCGTATGTCACGTTTATTGGGCTATTCACAGGTAAGCTTAAAATACAAGGTCAGGAAAAGACCAGATGCCATCAGTAATGTCAAAAACCAAAATATTTAGCTTTCTTAGTTGCAAACATTGCATTCCACTGCAGCTGAGGACTACATAAGAATTCGTTCACATACCTGCAATGGGAGTGATTTATATTTTTTAGCAACAGGAAGGACATATATTTAACCAATGACTTTTTAAGACAAGAAGAAGAAAACTATCTTCATGAGTTAGACAAGGAAATCATTCATACAAATTAAATTGATACAAAATACATTATAAAGAGAACGCATACAAAAGTCATTAACTTGGTCAAAGAGCAAAGATGTGACAGAATACCACACAGAGAACACTGGTGCAAATTCATTTCAGTTACGAAATTATGTCCAAGAACACATTTATTGAGGTAAAGGCACAATGACTTCCACATAATTAATGGGGAAGAAGCCAGATTCCCCACGTAGCATTCCTTCATACCAGTTTTCATCTATTTGATTGGTTAATGTAATGATGTCCCCTTCTTTAAATCCTAATTCTCCTTGGTTTTCTGGCTCAAAGTCATAGAGACCACGGCAGCAGGGCTGGTCCACAGGAGCGTTAGAACCTGTCCGCATGATATGGAGACAAGAAGTAAAGGTTAACATGACCAATCATTCAGGGAAACAAGACATGAGGGAGAAACAGGTGCTTGCTCCCTGTCTACCCCAAGGCTGGTTCCCACTGCTCACTGCTCTCTGGTGCTGTTTGTGGTACCTGGCCTCCCCCAGCCTCCCCAGCTCCCTAACTGCCTTAGCAGACCAATGTCTGTCTCCTAAGCCCTCCCAGGAAGAGGATACAAGCCCAGTCCATCTCTTTGGAGCTGACTCAGCTTGGCCTAGAGCCCTAGGGGAGAGGGTCTGCTCCAGGATGCTCACAGTGTCTTTGTGGTGACTGGATGGTACTTAGGAAAGTTAAAGGACAAAGTTGAGATGGTGTGTTACACAGGGCTAGGAGCTCTGAGTTTGTCAAAGTGTCTTCCTGGAGCTGGTAACCAGGAGCTGGGATGCAGGCACAGGATGAAGACAAGGGGAGGGGAGCCAGGACAGGAGTAAATAACCACAGACCAGACTGGTGTCTTCATGTTGGTACATCAGCCTGAATTCTCAGAAAGAGGACTTTTTTTTTTCCTCCAAAACTAAAATATGGTAGTTGTAAAAGTTGCAAAACAAAATGTATATGCAAATTTGGGACAAGTCAACTGTAATTCATTAACTCAGAGATAATGAGGGTGAAACCTTTGAATTCCAGCTTTGTGAATGAATATTTCTGAATATATTTACCTATATTTGTTTCCATTAAAGAATAATCTTTTACTTCCTTTTATGAACATAGCCCCACCACTGACCAGCTGTCAACCACATCAATAAACATAATTCCTTTACTGTTGACTTCTGTGGCCCACCCATTCTGAGCATACCTGGTCTTATCTAATCTACTATTGGACATTTGGGTCCTGCCTTGGTTTTCTCTTTTCCTTCTTCCTCCTCTCTCCTGGCCTGGTCTCGCCATCTTTTCCATCTCTTCTTTTCCCTGCTTCCCTTCCTTCGTTCCTTTCTCTCTGCCTCTTTCTTTCTCTTTCATTCTTTCTTGGTTTTCACAGATAACTGAAAAAACTGCATGAACATATGTTTATATGTATACAGGCAAACATCCTTTCTTCTGGCAGTAACTGCCTAGGGTAGGATTTCATCATCATAGAATAGGAAGTTTTCCAAGATGTTTGATGTTTGTGATCAATTTAATCTTATCTTTACTTTAAAAACATAGAAGCTCTTTTATGCTTCAGACACTGACCCTCTCTCTGTCTGCCAGCTTTGGTACAAACATTATTCCCAGCTTCTTACCTGCTTGCTTCTTTTGGATTTTTCTTTTTGTATGCTTTAATTTTGCAGTTTGTGCTGGCAATGGGGCAAGTAATAGGTTTTCTACCTTGTTTTGGAAGAGACAGTATTAAAATAGTGAAGGCACGGATACGAAGCTTCTCACTTATAATTTATCTTCCACAGCTGTGTATAATTATTCAACTAAATTTTATTCCACAATTGTAATTTTTAAATTTTTAATGTTAGAACTTTTATTTAGATTTCTAAAAAAAGAGGTAAGGGTTTACTGTATTTTAATAATGCTAAACCAGTTATGATGACATAATTTAACAAATTATCCTCCTTTTTCACTGATTTCAAATACCACTTTTATATTTATCATCTTATTTTTTGAGTCTCCCTATGTAACCCAGGCTAGTCTTGACCTCACAGGGACCCTCCTGCCTCATCCTCTCAAGTGTTGGGATTACAGGTGTGTACAAACACACCTGGCTTTATCATTTACTTACCATGAGTCCTAGGGTCTATATTGAGATTATTCAGTTTTGTCCCCTTGATCCATCTGGTAACAGCACTGCATCACTTTAAGCATTATACTGTACTATCAATGTTAATAACCAGGAAAGGAAGCTCCTGGTCATTTTAGAATGATCATTTTAGAATTTTCTAGCTGTTCTCATAAAATCATTTGGGCAAACTTTAGTGCCAGTGCATTGTCTCCATTTTGACCAAATTATATTTGTTTTTCTTTTTCCTTTAAGTATTAATAAGATTAATTTGAAGAGATTTTTGTAAATGACTAACCATTTGAAGACGCCACACTAATTCGCATGTCACATCTTGACTCTGCCTCAGGATTATATTTGCTATTATTTTATTTTTTATTTTGTTTTTGTTTTGTTGATACAGGGTCTCCCTGTAGCCCCAGCTGGCCTGGAACTCGCTTTGTAAAGCAAGCTGGTCTTGATCTCACAGAAATCCTTCTGCCTCTGCCTCCCAAGTGCTAGGATTAAAGGTGTGTGACACCATGCCAGGCTTACATTTGCTGCTGTTTTAAGATGTTCTGTCTCTATCTTAAAAGTGAAATGACTTAAGTAGACTTTGGGAACACAGTCATGTTAATTTTATTTTTAGAAGGTAAGTATTTCTTCTTTGTTTTCTAAATAATCACATTTTCCCCTGTACTGGATATTTTCAGTTGTCAACTCTTGACACACCTGGGAAGAGGGAACCTCAGTGGGGAAATGAATTTCCTCCATGGGACTGGCCTGTGAGCATTTCTGTGAGCCATCTACTTGATTATTGAGTAATGTGGGAGGGCTCAGCCTATTGTGGGTAGTGCCACCTCTGGGCAGATGGTCCTGAGTTACATAAGAAAGCAGGCTGAGCACAGGCTAGAGCAGCAATCCAGTAAGCAACATCCATGGTCTCTGCTTCAGTCATTACCTCTAGGTTTCTGCCTTGAGTTCCTACCCCAGCTTCCCTCAAGGACAAACTGTGATCTGGATGTGTAAGCCAAATAAACCCTTTCCTCACAAGTCAATTTTGGTCAGAGAGTTTTATCACAGCAATCTAACTAGAACAGCCCCAAACTCTGAGGGCCTATGAGTATGAATATAGGGTGCTCTCCAGGCTAGCTTGGAATAATGACTTAGTGTGTCTAGAGGGGATGTGGCTCCCCAATTCAGCTCTTGGAAGCCCCCCAGAACTTTAGCAGTTCCCGTAGTTCCCTGTGGAGGAGTTGAAGGTGAGATGACAGGCAAGAGCTGAGGCGCCTCGGCCAAGTGAGATGATGCATTACCTGGAGGGAGGCTGGGGAGCATGAACCACTAGTGAGACACGAGGCAGGGATGACTGGCCCTTGAGATAGGCTGGAAGGAAACGAAACTCCAGCCCAGGAAAGCAGCCACCCATCTCCATGGAAACGGACCCCCCATGCACACACACATATAAACACCATCAGGAGTGGGTGGAGATCAGTCTTCCAAAAGGAGACTGGGGACTGCCCCCTGTTGCAAAAGAATCCCCTAGGTTCCATTCTGACCCCAGTACCAGCAGAGGTAGTTCTGAAAAGGGGGTGGGACCTCCCAGAACAGGACCAGATAGCTTTACAGAAACCTGCAATTGAAATATCTGACATGCCTTTTCTTCTGCCATCTATTTTATGGTTTCATTTTTATTTCCTTTCTCTATTGCTCCAAAGCTTCCCCTCCCATCTTTAGACTTCAGGTGAGAGTGAAAGTAAGTCCCTCACCAAATCTTTTATGTCCAAGTAAAGCGAGTGAGAGTAAAAGCAAGAAAGAGAGAGCATGAGAACCAATCTGGTACTTCTGCAGTTGGCCAAATGAGAAAGCTCTGTCTGAAGTGAGCCCTGTGGTGAGAGGGAAGGGTCAGGATGGGGGGGCTTCGTGCTGTGAGAAGAATTTTATGATGCTGGTTTCAACAGCTTGACATTATTGGAGTGGTTGCTATTTCTCCAACAAACAGGTCGTCACCCACCCCCTACCACCTTCTCAGCACTCTAGCCAAGCCTATGCTGTAATGAATACCAAGTCTAGACCCACCCACCCAAAGAGCTCTTTTGGGTGCAGCAGGTGACATCAACCAAGGCTCCTCACTGCCTTCCTGTGGCAACATGGCACTACCCAGGATGAACCCCAGATCTGTTAAAGCAGAAACTCTCACAATGGGGGTATCTTTTAAAATGTTCCAGTTCTTTCCAGTGTCTCTTGGAGGTGGGGCTGAGAACCACCAGTGTCATAGCCTTCCTCCTCATCCACAGTTAACTGGAAATGTATGGGGCATTAGCTGCTGGGGAAGTAGAAAGTGGCGATCCTAAAGGCTTTTTCTTCCCTGCAGAGGCAGCTCCCTCCTGAGGTGATTTATACACTTATCAACCTCTTAGATTCTGGACCTATCTGCACAGGAATCTCCCAGATCTCATAGATGTTTCTGTCGGTTGGATGGTTCCTCTCAGGAAACACCTCACCCCAGCCCAGCTGTGTATTCTTTTGGCCAAAATGATGGAAGCTAGGGAGTAGAATTGAAATACTGGGGCTTAGTTCATTATCTTGAATTTGAATAGAATAACATTCCAGTATTTCAAAACAATGGGGAATTGAGTGTTTCCAACAGAGACATTTTTGTTTTCCTTTGGTCACAGTACTTAATGTGGTGGATGGAGGTCAGACAATGAAAACCTGTGGCCATGAACTGAAGTCAGCGTCAGTATAACATAACTATTTCAGAGTGAAGGGTAAAATGATGGGGATTCTTTCCATATTTCTGCCATTAACAGTCCAATTGAGAAGGAGGCAGGTACAAACATCACACAGCCTAAGGAAGCATTTCCTCAAACGGAATATTCAGACAAAGGAATCTGGCAGTCTTCCATAAACCCTTTTTGAAGAGGTCATAGTGGCCTGACCCCTGGGAAAATGGCCAAGGTTCCAGTCCCTAGACTGTGACCTGCCTCACCCTAGGTCACCTCCTACATTATCTACTACACTGCTGAGACACTGTAGGTTACCACACTGACAGTGAGGCTTACTACCTATTTCACCCGCCTACTTAGTGTCAGCCCCCCAGGTTGACCAAAATATTCTCATTACTAGACACCTAGCTGTCCAAGCTGACCATTTATGTTTGCATACACATGTAGCCTGCACATACGCATGCACACGCACACGCATGCACACACATACATACACACTAAATCAGGAAGCAGACAGATGACTCACTT